TACAGTCCCTGGCAGAGCTAAGGAAGGGGGCTTCATTCAATCCTTATTCCTTATCCCCTCGCCCAGGCTAACGGGGCCTTACGGGGAGAGTGGAGCCTCAAGAAGCACTGTTGAGAGGAAGATGCTTGGCCCCTCTTCATTCTCTACAGGGTTCCAAACCTTTCTTCAACATAGGTGACAACGAGCGAGGCAGAGATGGAAGAGATCGAACACGGGAATAAGAAGCAAGCTCGCCTTTTTTTTGATTTTGATAGAGGGGGATGGAGAAAGTGGACAAAACAGACTTGCATTTCCCAGTCGAAAAGATGAGTTCCTTTTTCGTCTCGCATTTCTCATCAAACAAATACGGAAAAATCATCATATTGAAAACGCGTTACTAACCCACCAAGCCCTTCCTTCGTAGAGCCGTGTATTGTAAGTGATCCGAACCTGCCCGGAGCGAGCCTCCCATAGAGGCAAGTGAAGTTGGTGAGCCGTATGATGGGCAACTATCTCTTGCGGTTCGGAGAGGACTCAGCTCTTAGTTAGTACGCCCTTGGTTTCGGGGTGTACCCTTTCACTCTATTTTATTATATACGCTTAGCGAAAATCATGTTTTTTGATACACCTAGGACATGGATTCTATATGAACCAATGGATCGTGACAAGTCGTTACTACTAGCAATGATTTCCTCTTTCATTACTTCATCCTTTCCATATCCCTCTCCCTTGTTCTCAGTTACTCATCAAATGGCACTCAGTTCATATCTTTAAGTTCGATCATTGACAAGGTTCAAAGAAAGGGTGGGACATTGATAAAGAATCGATTCCAAACCACAATGCTAGCAGATGGCGGGCCTCCGCTTTTCTTTTCATTAATGAAACCTGCCAGTTATTTATTTATTATTAACTCAAATCAAAAAGACAAAAAAGTCTTTGTTCAAAAAGACGTGGGTGGCATTATGACTGGGGTGTCAGTTAGAAAGGTTCTTACAATGTTCGTTCAAATAAAGCAGCATTCTTTTTTTTGACTTAAGGAGGGCTTGATAAGAAGGGCTTGGGACCTATGAAGAAACAAAACAAAAAACATGAAAGAAAGAAAGAATGAAAATGAACGGGAGGCGTCGGAGGAAGGACTGACGAACTACTTACTTGTCTTTGGTTAACTACTTACTTGGGGTTCTTTCTCGTAAGTGGTATACCTACACCCTGCACACTCACTCTATCTATATACTACTACGTTGATAGCCTTTCTTTCGAAAACCTCTCTCTCTCTCTACTAAATCGCCGTTTTTTCAGGTCGAACCAAGCCCGGATCCAGCTGAAAAACGGAATGGAATACTCTAAGATGCTTCATAGCTTCAACAAGCCCATACCATATTCTTCCCGGGGAAAGATGAGAGTTCCAACCCTTTATTGAAGAAAGAGCTCTTGCCTGAAACTCAAAAGAGAAGAGAACGTTCCTTCCGCAACGCAAGGGCGATATCTTTCATAGCAGCCAAGGAAGGATGAGTTCGATCCATTAGGTTCTTCGATTTATTCGGAAAAGAAATGAGAGAGAAGAAAACATCTTTGATTACGATTAAAAGGAACAATCTCAAATAGACTAAGATCCAATTTCGAGTCATTTCTTGGTGAACATGATCTCCCATAATCTCTTCGATCCCTAAATTTATGTGCCAGACTACAAATAGATTTGGCAGGAAAGTGGAAGAGGCTTTTTTGTATATAATAATTAAAGGAAGAAGGAAAGCTGCTGTAATTCTTTGGAAAAGCTCGGTTCTCTGTCTTCGAGCTTGAATTCCTCAATGCACTGTTTTGTTCTTTCATATACCTCCCCACCAATAGATAGAGACAAATAGGAATAACCGAACCACGTCTACAAAATGCCAGTACCATGCAGCTGCTTCAAAGCCAACGTGATGCTCCTTAGTCAGATGACCAAGATATTGGCGAATACCACATATGATCAAGAAAAGAGTACCTATAATCACATGAAAACCATGAAAGCCAGTTGCTAAGAAAAGGTAGAACCATAAATACTAACCGAAATAGTGAAGGGTGCTTGATAATATTCCATTCCTTGAAAGCCTGTGAATACTAGAGCCAGTGAAACGGTAGCTACTAAAGCATAAACAACACGCTTTTCCTTCCCCGCGAGTATAGCATGATGAGCCCAAGTTACGGCAGCTCCGGATGAAAGGAGAATAGGGGTATTAAGAAAAGGGATTTCCCGAGGATCTAAAACCCCAATCCCTTTTGGGGGCCAAATACCTCCGACCGTGGGTGCCAAAGAAGAATGAGAAGAAGCCGGAAAAAAAGCAAAAAGGAACATAACCTCCGATACGATAAACAGAATAAAACCATATCGAAGTCCTAATTGTACTACTTTGGTATGATGTCCTTCCAACGTGGATTCACGTAGAACATCGCGCCACCATACGAACATGGTATATAGGAGAAATATGAGGCCCAAACTGAGAAGTGTTGCACCCCCTTGAAATGAGTGCATGTACATCACACCTCCTACGGTGGTTGCCAAAGCTCCGAGTGAACAAGAAATGGGCCATGGACTTGGATCTACCAAATGAAAAGAATGCCTCTGAGATTCAATCATAAACCACTTTGCCTCGGTTGTATGTAAACCCCCCCTTCACCCCCGCTAAAGTGGTAAAGAAGGGTTGGGGTCTCATTTTCTTTCTATCTGACAGGACAAAAAAATAGGAAGGGATGGTTCTTTCATTGCATTGATAGAAGTCTAACTAGAAAAATATCTCTCTATTCCTTTGAGAGGAGAATCTCGTTGGTTTGACCGAGGAACTACGTGGGAAGACCTTCCTTCTTTCGTTGATTTTCAACAAGCATTTTAGTAAAGTCAAAATTCTCTGCAATTTGGTTTCGGAAAACTTGTTGGTCGCGAATTAGTGTGTTCTGCGCCGCCGGCGGCCTAAAATGAAAGGCGCAGGTTGATCTCTCTGGTTGAGGATTCATTTATTCAACTTTACACGTGGGAAGGGCTTACTCTCCTCGGCTTGGTCTCGCTCCCTTCCCGGACTATTCCTCCCCACTAAAAAGAGCGATCGACTTTCTCGATAACCTTTCTGAACGTCCTTCTTCGCGTGGGGATTTGAAAAGGGATATATCTCTCTTGTAATGCTTTCTACTATTCTTATCGAGAAAGAATCTCTTCTAAACGACCAAGTCATAATGAGATTAAAAAACGATGCTTCCTTGGCCGTGTAGAACATGGATTAGCATTATGTCATTCCTATAAGCGATCCCCCATCCAGGATTGGAAGAAGTGCTATATGAGGACTTCGAGATCAAATAGAATATATTTCTTTCGAGACCTCGTGAGCCACTTATTTCTTCGAAACAAGAGAGAAAAGTGATTTGACTCCTTTTTCCCAATATGTCGACGGCGTTACACCATTGGGATACTTCGAATAAACTAGAGTACATATAGGATACACTGGTGCTAAAACCTTTTCTCAAGATATCTTCCAAACTGTTGGGGTCGTTGCTCCGTATCTTGTTCCCCCGGTGTGAAACCAGTTAGTTCTGTAGTTTGAGAATTCTACTGATCCCAAGTACTCCATCTCCATCATTGCATATGGGAATATAGAAAGTCAAGAAGAAAAGGCATGACCAGAAGAATTGTGTGAAATAAGTCAATTTATCCAGTTGAGGCATTCTTGATTGAGAAAAAATGATTGATTATTCCCTTCAGACAGAAAGAGACTCCTTCCTGTATGAGTAGTGAAGAACTATAGAGAGTTGTGGTTGGTTGTTGACCAACTGAAAGCATGGGAGAAAGAAAGATGCACAAACGAAAGAAAGAAAGAAAGAAAAAGGGCGACCTCATAAAAAGCAAGAAAAGCACCCAGCAAACTGCGAACCTGACTTGAGAGGGCAACCACTGAGATAAACAAACTAAACAAAGAAGGGCGCGGGAGCCCACCCAGGTCGAGGGTCTCCCCGATATCTTTTCTCAACAACAAAGTGAAAGTAGAAAAACCTAATTCTTACATTACCACAGCCCACTTGGTTTTCTTTCTCGTGGAGCGGCATACCGAAAAAAAAAAGAAAGAAAAAAAGGCGAGGAGAAGAGGAGAGGGAGTCAGGAGTAAGGAAGGAGCTCGACCGATAGGGAGAGGGAGTAAGGAGTAAGTAGCTCGACCGATAGGGAGAGGGAGAGGAAACCTTTTCTGTTTTTGTATAGCATAGCGGTATTATGCCAAAAGACTTTTTAGCAGATTGTAGGGTTATCTCTAATCTGCTCCATCCATTCGTGGAGGGGTTCGGCATCCATCTACGCAGATATTTCCACATCCTGAGAAATAATGTTTGTTATTGGCTATTTCCGAATACATATTTCTCATTTCTTGAAAGTGAGGGCTGCACTCGCCCTCTTTCACACTCTGAACGTAGTTGCTGCGTGACTAACGTGTGAATTTCCCTGAGAAGTGCCTCAGGGGATGGGGATCGATGTGCGGAACTTCTGCGGGTGTTGGCGCCTCTGGCAGCGCCTCTTGAGCCGTCCCCGGTTGTTGATTGGGGTTTTGATAGGGGTTGCCCCAAGAACTTGCAGGATTCGCGGGCGAAGCCGAAACTGCGCGACCTCTGGAGCGACTATCTTAGTCGTGGGATCGGCCTCTCGCCTAAGGCGGGTGCACGAAAGGGTGAAGGCGAAACTCGAAAAGAATTGACTGATTCTTTTTCTATTTCCTCTTTCATTTGCATTTCCAAATCTCAAGTCAAGGCGTTAGCACATCTATTTTCTTGCTCGTTACCGCTTTACTAATCAAATAGAAGGAGGCAAGCCAAAACCAACTCCTAAAAAGTGGCTGAGTTCGCTTTTCGGGGTTACCCACCTGATTGAGGGCTTAGTAATATATAAAGAGGAGGAAGCTGCGAGACCGAGAAATAGGGAAGGAGCCCCCGAATTTGGCCTTTTTGTTTAAGTAAGAGTAGCTCACCTTTTTGAATAGAAGGAAGTGGGATAGCATTGGTTCTTTCGGTAAACCGTTGCATGAGCTGAGGCTCCCATGTCCCGCCGACCCTTCGAAAAAGTCAGGTCGTCAAACGGCTCATAGGGAGTCAGAAGCAAGGGGAGTCAAAGGCGGGTCAAACTCACATAAGCGGAGGGGGAGAGACATTCATGAAAAGCGAGAAGTCGTGGGAGACTGGCCAACTATGATATAGATATCTGACTTTCGGGTAAGAGTATGAACATCTATTAGTCCGTATCATGGGTCTACTTGTTACAAAAGGCGAACATCCCTATTCCAAAACATACACATAAGTCCTCAGGCAGGCGGGGACGAAAAGAGTCTATTCCTTTACAACAATATTCCGAAATGTATCATGGCCCTATTATCTTTTTATTAAAAAAGAAGAGTTTCGCATCTCTCCGAGGCCGGGAGAACAAATAGGCGTGAGGAAGAGGGAGAGGGGGGGCTACGAGCCCTNGGGGGGGGGGGGGGGGGGGGGGGGGGGCTACGAGCCCTCTCCCGTTGCTGTTCCCGGATCACCCATCCCTTCCTTCCCCTTCTCCCGCCCTGGTGAGATCCGATGAGATCAGATCTCTCGAACGAAGTTCAGTGATAGGTTTAAAAAGAGAAGACAGCTGGCGGGAGATCACTATGCATTACCACCCCCTTGTATAGGTTGTGGAAAACAGAAGTGTGGTCCTGTGCACTGAAGGATGGCATAAAGATACCTGATTATTAGAGAAAGGGGCAAGGCAAAACCAACTCCTAAAAAGTTGCCGAAGTATCTCGAAGGTTCTCCATACGCCTGACAGCTGCAGAGGGAGTTCGATTCCCGTTATACGTGATGTGGCAAAAAAAACGGATTCAACAAGATATGCCTTGCATGCATTAAGATTTCAAACTTGTCGTCTACTTTTAGGAAATGTTCGGAACAGAGAACTTACAATAATACAACGCCGCATTCTCCGAAAATTGAGAAACAAAAGGAGATCTATTAAGAGAAAGATTTATCCGAGAGAAAATCTTAACAGTTACATACAATCACAAACTACACGAAAGTTGCCCCTTTTCATGGGGATTTACCCATCACAGAGATGCACAGAGGAAGAGAACGAACTTCTTATATCCCTTTTCCACTCAATCCAGAAACAAGATCGGACGTTATTTCGGTTCGTCTCCATTTTAGTTCAACTCTTTCTCAAGCAAGGCAGCCGATAAGTCATCGAAGGGTTTGTGTGAATAAAGGAATGTCCCCATTACTCATTTTAAAGTGTCCCACGGTGATCTAATATCTTTTCAAGAAAATGACGCGAGAATCCACGGTGAAGAAATAAGGAGATCTTTCTATATCGAAATCTCAGTTGAAAAAATCATAGGCAAATTCGTGGATCACCCGGTAAGAATGTGGAAAAGAACTAAAACAGAATGGTTCCACCTACTCAAAACTCAGAGGGGATGCCGCCTACTACTAAAATCTCGGTTTTTGCAACAGTTGCATTCTTCTATGCAAGAATCAAACTTAGAAAGAAGAAAGAAGTTTGGATCAGATAAAGTATGCTTAGGCAGTTCCTTCGCTGAGCACAATAGAATGAAAAGGAATTTATATCATGTTCAATCCCTATTCTTATCGAATAGAAGGAAGGAGAAAAACCGAAATCTTCCTACTCGAAGAATCAGTCCTATAGTTTACAACTCTTCTTGATATAGTAATTTGACCTATTGCTCCGCATCCCCCCATCAGTTTACTATGAAGAGCAAAATCAAAAGGATCGAACTACCTACTCATTATTCGGAGGTGAATCATAGAACACTAAAAGCTGTGGTATCTTATGGACCTAAGATAGGGCACATCCCTCACGACATAAGATTGAAAGATCCAAACCTTCCTCTTCGAAGTGGAAACGGATGTGGCCAAAACATATAAAGATCGGCTCGATCGGACATATCTATCCATCTCGAGTCTCGTCTAGATCGATTCATAGATCGATTTCTATCCATATGTAGCGGTATCCCCATGGATAGAGATAAAGATAGGGGTCCATCTAGATCTTGATTCACTATTTCCATTTGATTGATTGCCTTTTGACAACAAGTTTTCAATCTTAATGCAGACAAGGAAAGAAAAGAGAGTTTGTCTATTATTACTTGCAAGATCGGAGCATATATGAGCGAGCAGAGCCCAGGGAACGAACGGGGAAGCCCGTTATAGAGCAGTCGACTATCAGTATCAGATGGCCTGAGAGAAGACGGCCTCTCTCGGGAAAGATGGCCGAATTTCTCTTCTTTCTTTTTTCTTTCGGGTTTCTTTCTTCTTTCAGGGGCCCATAACGCTAAAAGGTGGGGGAGAAGCAAGCCGAACCTCTGATCGACCTGGAAACATAACAAATTCTTAGCGTCGAGAGAGATTTGAGATTCCGTAAGTAACTCAGTGAGTGCTTTCTAAGAAGGGCTTGACTTGGAAGAAGAAAATGAAATACGAACAACCGCGCTGGTCATAATAGATCCACTTTCTTGCTAGTTCTTGCTTTAGCATGAAAGTTCCATTTCAGGGAAGGACGACGTACCATGATACTTCCCGTTTTGTCGAGCCCAGCTTTGGTCTCTGGTTTGATGGTTGTACGTGCTAAAAATCCAGTACATTCCGTTTTGTTTCCCATCCCAGTCTTTCGCAACACTTCAGGTTTACTTCTTTTGTTAGGTCTCGACTTCTTCGCTATGATCTTCCCAGTAGTTCATATAGGAGCTATAGCCGTTTCATTCCTATTCATTGTTATGATGTTCCATATTCAAATAGCGGAGATTCACGAATCAGTCTTGCGCTATTTACCAGTGAGTGGTATTATTGGACTGATCTTTTGGTGGGAAATGTTCTTCATTTTAGATAATGAAACCATTTCATTACTAACAACCCAAAGAAATACGACCTCTCTGAGATATACGGTTTATGTCGGAAAGGTACGCAGTTGGACTAATTTGGAAACATTGGGCAATTTACTTTATACCTACTATTCCGTCTGGTTTTTGGTTTCTAGTCTGATTTTATTAGTAGCCATGATTGGCGCTATAATACTAACTATGCATAGGACTACTAAGGTGAAAAGACAGGATCTATTCCGACGAAATGCTATTGATTTTAGGAGGACTATAATGAGGAGGACGACAGACCCACTCCCGATCTACTAAAGGGAAAGTAGCTTCATTGGTTCGAATCCAAGTCGTGAGATGGCAGTGACGGTGAGGAAAAGGCGTAGGTTGGCCTGGCTTTGGCTTGCTCTGGGCATTATGGCGATTAATGATCCCTGGTGCAAGAAAACAATAAGTCAGAGTCCCTTAAAAAACTCCCAGTGTATAAAGGAAGGTTCAGGCCCCCCAAGCGTCGCAGGGTTCCTCACTCGAGTATCAGGACGAGAAAGAAAGGATATAACAGTGCATTGAAAGATCCAACAGTCAAAAGTGAAATAGACAGAAGGGAGAAGAAAGAAAAATGAATGAGAGTGAACTCCGGAACTAGAACCAGAACCTCTATGACCTGAGCTACTTCACCTTTAAATTACAATGGTAAAAGAAAAAGAGAAAGACGAAAGCCAGATGAATGAGAGTTTACAGTCTTTGAAGGGAGACGAAACGAAAGAAGAATTAGACTGAACAGTGAAAGAAAGAGTAAATGAATTAGCTACTTCACCCATTTACCTTATGAATGAGAGTGAACTACTGAACCTGAAAGTGCTGAAAGGAAAGATGAAAGAAACTAAAGCTTAAAATAGACTTTATAGTGAAAGAAAGAAGGAAAAGAGAAGGGAGACTCCTTATGAATGAGAGTGAACTACTGAACCTAAAAGTGTTGAAAGGAAAGACGAAACGAAAGAAGAATTAGACAGAACAGAACAGGACTATTACTGATGAACCTTCCCCTGAACCTATATTCCCTTCACTCCTGACCCTATTTCTTCAAACATGTAAACAAAGATAAATACCCCTTCCCTTATTCATGATCCTTTAAGGACCATTTCTTTGAAAATTCTATCCTTTGTCTATTTTTTTGGTTATTTTTGGCCGAGGTAATTAACTATTAAGTCAAGACTCAAGGAAATACTCAACTCAACAAGAATTCTCATTCACTGTCAGACTCATTAGACTGATCCTACTGATTTCACTCATTCGACTTCCCTTCGCTACTGAACCAGACGGATTGAACTGTAAAAGAAGAAGAAAGATTCATCTCTTTTCTTTCCCTTCCCTTATTTCTGGAGGTAAACTCGTCTCACAGCTTCGCCCCTCTCCTTTGTCTCACAGCTTCACCCCTAAACCTGTCGGTCTCACAGCTTCGCCCCTTTTCTCTTACTTAATTATTCTTCACCAGATTAAACTGTAACCTCGGTTTTGAATCTTTGCTTTGATTGAATTTGATTCTCTTCAAGACTCAACAAATGAAAGAAAGATGAATGAGACTTAACTCCTTTTCCGGATTTCACTCTTTTACTCGACTGTAAGAAAGATGAATGAGACTGAACTACTGAACAACCTATCCTTAGTCTTTCTCCTGAACCAGATTGAACAAGGTAAGTAAAGAGACTGAACCCATATGACATGAGCTACTTCCTGAACCGATATTACAGTGTTTGAAAGAAGAAAGAAGACGAAGACAAGATGAATGAGAGTGAACAGGAAGGAAAGAGTAAATGAATTAGCTACTAAACCTGAAGGAAAGACTGAACTCAAGATTCGACAGATGGAACTCGGTAAAAGGCAGAGACAAAGAGAAAGTCAATCCTCAACTCTCGATGAATGAGACTGAACAGGCTGGATGAGAATTAGGTCAAGCTCAATCACCGGAACCTATTTCTTCTTTCACCTATTCATTGTCGGAAGTCAAGACTCAAGATTCCTTTTCCAATATTACCTTGCTTACCTTATGGAGGTAAAAGTAGCTCTTTCCTGAACCAACCTCTGCTTCTCTCCTTCACTCCTGAACTTGTCCCTTCTTTGGTAAATAGGCTTTGATTACCTCCTGAAAGTGTTTCAAGGAAAGACTCAAGAAGAATGAAACTTTACCAGTGTAAGGGAATGAAAGATTCATTCGACTCAACCTATTTCT